GTAGTGTGTCCCCCCCGGCCGTCCACACCAATAATCCAGTCGGTACGCGTGGCTGCCTCCCTCCATGTCACACTTCGCCGACCAGCGCAAATTGTGTTTTGCTTTCTCAACAAGGTACTGAAACCCTGAAATCAGCCAGCCGTTCTCTTCATCCGAAGAGCAGTTCCCCTCAATGGTTTTTCCCCCACCACGACAGACGGGGATAAAAACTTAGAGGGTATTCGAAAAAACGAAGGACACGAAGAGATATTATGATTATCAAGGTCATAAATGCACGGCTGAACACCTTCCCGAAACAAATTTCATTAAAATATACGTCATTTTATCAATGCCCATGGTGGTCTACATCCATTCGGGGTTGATATACTCACGCCGCCAAATAAACTAATTAATTTCAGCAAAAGTGAGCTCCAATTAATTCTAGTATCATTAGCTGCATGCATAATATCGAAGGGAATCTTACAAGTCTGTTAAGATAATAACCAACGAGAGGACCTCAAGGCCAGAGGCGTGTCTTCTTGAGACAAGATGACCCATAGGCGAGAAATCTGACATGCCTGTCAGGAAAATGCACTCAGGGGCCAAGAAAGGGGGAGACGTTTAGTGAGGACGCGGGGAAAAAGATAGTGTAAGGACAACCCGTCCTTTTTTATAAAACCTTTCATCGTCGTAACTTGATATCCAGAAAATACGTCGAGCCCGGAAGCGTCAACAAATTTCAAAAGCTACCTCAGGAAATGTCAACTGGTCATATTTTTTCTCCCATTGCATAAAAATGATCTTATATTATAAATTAATCTTTTCCTCTTCTTAACACACAACACTTTTTTTACATCACTGAATATTTCTGGGGTAATATAAACATTTTGAGTATCATAAAATAACTGGTTTCCTTGTTTCTTCGATTATTTGCCTCAATTAATATGCTGACGTGAATAAAGAGGCGTATCTACAAACTGCAACGTAGATTTTTTGGTTTAATGTAGGCCTATTCTATCGATAGCCTGTAAAAAAATCCCATCTGGTAAGATCATTAAGAGTCTTCATGAAATAATCGCCATACAGCATAACCACGCCCGCTTTGTACGTATTGATGACATATCGATTTCAAACACTATATGCCGAAAAATAAACAATATTGAAACGACTGTACCCTGTGAATTGAAGCCAGTATTTGACGCTACATAATTATACTTTATAACAACTGCAATACTTGCTCTGCTCTACACTTTACTGCTGGAAGTAATAGTCTACACGTTTAATATACGCTACTCTTTTTATCTATATCATCCAAGGCCTTCATAACATAATATGACGCTGTAAATTAACATAATCTTTCTGGCTTTAAATCGGCCTACTCGCCAGTGAAATCGTGCAGCAAACGTGCAGGTACACGTAGTTATTTGTTCAACTCCCAACGAAGCTGGAATAGCAGAGCATTTACAAGATCCTGCGGCTATCACCATTTTGAATGAAGGAAAAGACTACCTAATCTATCGGGAATATTTTAAAAAAATGTTGAGAGGTTGCATAAGAGAAAAACCATCTTTTTTCAGTGACTGTTTTGCGTAAGGTCCACCACGGCACCTCGTCCATCAATTTGACTTGATTATTTCGACATCTTAGCTTGGTTCATCCATTAACATTCTGAAACACCTGGTACTCATTTCCGTTCGAAAACAATTTTTGATGAGAGAGAGAGGAAAAATGATGACACTGGCAAATGTCAGACTTGGGCTTGCCCCTCCACTTTGGTGAGACGAAGAATTTCCCACTGAGACATCTGCTTCATTTCTATATTAACAAGCCGTTCACTGGCCTTCCACCCTTACGGTTTCGACAGAATACCCGTAAGTGCTCACCGTCGGGGCATTGCTAACTACCCGGTAAACGTTTGACATTTCGGTTTGAAGGGTGTGACGTGATGAAACGCGCTCTCATGCACAAATTACGTGTGTACACACAGATCAGCTGAGAAGTGTAAATTAGTCATTTTCGGCGTAAGTACAAGTCGAGTGGGCGGGGCAATAGGGTGCTCCCCTTCCCGGTTTTTTTTTTTAAGTTTCGCTCGTCATCAGTATCCATCTGTGTGCTTTTGCGTCTCGCACCTGGTTGCTTTTCTTCATTTCGGGCGCGATGATGGATTCCTGTTTGAGCTAAGTGTAAATGTCATCCGTTGGTGGTCAATGGTCACGCGGCTTCTCGACAAAGTCTGATATTGTGTGCTAGCAAATTTATGCAAACCCGCACGTGACGTCATTTCAAGCAGAAATTTACTCAAAGCTACTGATTGGTCGATACCGTATCAGCTGACCATTTTAGTCGGTTTAGGTGGCATCAGACCTGGGAATTGTGCTTTTCAGTCTTGGATGGAAATACACGCACACTTAAAACAACCCACTCCAGCCCAACTACAGTAGACCTACACGCAAGTATAGGCCCAGGCCGAACCAGCTGCACAGCCCGCATGCGGCACAGACCGCTGAAAACATCCTGCATTGATATGTCGGCGCCATGTTTTACTTTACGTCATTGAAATTGCAGATGCTGATTGGTCAAAATGTGGCAGTTAGGTCTAAGCGGGCATTGTTTTGAACACTGAGTCACCGAATGTGCACAGATATCGTCTGATCATAGACGCTCGCCTGCACTTTTTAGACGGGCCTCTTTTACTGAGACTAAGTTTACCTCTTCGCAAGGATCCAAAACGTCTCTGCTGTTTGGTTTTTTATAAACAGTAAAATGTATTTCAACCTGACACCGCATACAAAACAACACGATAGTCTTACAACTGTAGGCCTTACGATGCAGAGAAAGTGTCGGGAGAAGGTTCGCCTCTTCGGGCTCAGTCTACGAGAAAAGACAACCATGAGGCTCATGTGGATGTTTCTTGAAGGGCTATAAAATGGAAAATCATCAGTGAAGTGAAAATTCCCTCTTAGATCTTCAAGTGCGGATATAGATCAAAACGCTTTACTCCTGAGCCGATAATTGACAACCAGAGTCATGGATTTCACAGAAGCAATATAATTGCGAGGGATGCATCCACAGAGCTATCAACCCACATTTACCATTGTATCGAGATATTATGGGGGGGCTCTCTCAAGGCATGTATGGTGTCATCCTTCCAATCTTTGTGATCCTTAGCCTGTGTGCTACACGAACCCTGCATATTAGACCCTCCTTCACAACAACATGAATAGAGTGTCAGTAACTTAGTGTCAGAACATCCCTCGAGTCATCGCCGCCACACAAGAATTGCTAGATCAGTGTATACGTGGTTATAATTAAAGTTTGGGCTGACAGGGTGAGAGTTAATTTACTGGCCGGCGTTTATCCTTCAATATCATCGAGCGAGGCCACGGTCGTCTCTCTATAATACTCCCAACCTTGGACGAGAATAGAACACTTTTTTATGTACACTCGTTCCTTGACCGTTGAGGAATACAATTACCCACAAAAGACCATGTTGTATTGTAATTTATGCGCCCGCTTCCATTTATAGTTCGGCTTAATACGCCAGTGAACATCACTACAGAGTTCGTTTGGTTTTTTCCACCGACGCAAATGAGTCACGGCAATAACATCTGTAAAGTTTACCAACGTCACTGGAATAATTTAGCCTCGTCCCTGGAATATTGGTGTACCAAGTACTTAAATTCACAGGTTGATTTTCTTACTGCATAAGAAAAAGGCCATTCAGTGCTATTTAAAATAAAAAGGGTCAGCTTAACGAATTTTCCAACCAATTTATGAACAGGATGAGATTGAAGGGATGCCGCCAGTTTAAAAATGAAATTAGGTTTTAAAAACCCCAAAGCGTATTTTGCATTTTGGCGTAAATAGTACAGAACACAGTCTGCACTGCACGTCAAGAAAAAACATGACTGTATGGGAAAAGATGAACAAGATGAATATGCCGATAGTTTAGTGTCTTTCATCACCAGATGCACCGACTACGATGTAATTTCGTGTCGCTCCACGATTTTCTTTGATTCACATGAGTGTGGTACAGAGTTGTAAACATGAAATAGCCGTCTATACTCGATCGAGCACTTCCACGATCTTGAGGTGTTGACGTTGTGTGATATCCAGCCCGGCCGTTCCCACCTGCATAGCATTGACGGATGTTTGGTCGAATTTAATCATTGCTCGTATCTCTTTTTTTTTCTTATTTGCCATGGGGGGGCATATCCCACTGCTGCCACCTCTTCAAGTGATGTGACAGACACTGTGTTTTTTGTGTACTTCATCGCCAAGATCTGACGCCGAAAAGTCACCGATTAGGATCACGAACGACGAATGAACACCACTGCTACGCTGTCTGACTGAGAGTTCAACATTTGATTCCTATTACAATTTAGCTCTTTGTAATGCTTTACAAATTGGATTAATTAATACTCAACATGATTCGCTAGCAAATGATCTTCCGTGGCAACTAATTCTGTTATCATGGTAAATGACGCCATAATTCGTCCAAAGCCGACCCCAAGGCATATACGGTGACGATGCATTAACCATCCAAGCAACAATGTTGTGGAATTCACTTTGGGGTTGCCGTAGAAATATTGATAAATTTGAAACTTGTTAAAAGTATTTCTTTCAAAAGGGGTTATTCTTAATAATCGAATTTTCAAGTTACTTGTTTACCATTTATACAGTATTAGAATGCTACATGCACTGTAAAATAGTTTATTATAAGAGTCAATGGGGGAGAAGGTACTTCACCCCCATGGAAACACTGAAAAAGGAAAAGAGAATAGATAAAGGGGAATAACTGAAAACGAGGAAATGGGATCAAAATACCTGGGAACTGACCGCATGCACCGTTAAGGGTTGATCAGTCCGGCTGCTATCTAAAGGGTGCTTGGACGCTCCCAACCCACCCCAGACGTCCTGCCCCGTTGATGAATCCTTGTGATGCTCACCATTAGTGTGTGTGTGTGGGGGGGGTCGCTACTAATTATTTGGTGTATAGAGTTGCAAGAGATGGATCTTACCTCTGACATGCCGATGCGACCATCTTCATCCTCGTCGTACGCACACATGTGCTGTTTGATCATCTCCTCCAACATCGTGGGCGATATTGCCTGAATAAGTAACAACAGAAGCAGTTACTTGTACATCTGTTGGAGAGTAAGGTGACGGAGACTGTCCGGAAACTTTGGCCCTTTTTTAGGAATGAAAGAGTCGCATCGAACTAAATCGATTCAAGTCCAACCTAATCAAGACGGAGTGTGCTAAACCCAACATGGGCATGCTCATTAAGATTCCTCCCCTATTTAAGTTAAATCTGTTGATGGGAAAATGTTGATTGGCAATTTTTCCTTCATTCTAAACACCCCACCTTGCCCCTTGGTGCTGTAACTTGATGTCCTAGCCTTTCCAGCCACTAAGTTTTTCAACTATCAAAATACTTTGAGTGGTGTTCCATGCAGTCAAACACACGGGGGTCAGCAGGCACTACACGCAGGCACTGCCCTGCGTGTCGGCCAGCATTGCATTACCGGTAACCGTAGTTTACCAAGCACTTGGTGGTCCTCTATGACCACGTATTAGGTCCGCGGAAACAAATATCTCATTAAATTCAATGACTGGGACTCGAGGGTGCGGCTTGTTCCGGAGTGCCGTCCATGGCACGTTCTTGAGACCTGCACGCGCTCAGGCCGAACGCTCAATTTAGTACTTCAAGCCCAGCGTAGGCATCACCTTTCGTTTTTATTTGTCATGCAGTGAAAATAATATGGGCACACAGAGAGGGGAAAACAGGCAATGTTTAACATTTTGCGTTCCTTTACAGGAGTACGGGTAACTACAGCTTTCGTCTGTCCTCTAGAACCGGGGCCAAAAGCGCCAAGTATGTACGAAGAAGGTAAGGGTTTTTGAATAATACATGTCAAGAAGGGTTTCAAATTATCCGCTCTCGACTTCGTCTTTGTTGTTGGAAATCATAAAAATAGTTACCGCGGCTGAGGAATCTCTGTTTCTCATGACGAAATCTGTGAAGAAATTCTCCAGTTCACGGCCTTCGATGAATCCATTTCCTGCAAACAGAAGTCAAGGAATAATGGTCGATACATTCAACTTCTGAGAAGGTAAAAATAGAAGGGAGAATTCAGACGAAGGAAAGGACCTATTCTACTCATCTGAAGAAGGGTTACAGCATAAATGGTTTAGTATCCTTCGATACGCATTATCATAACTGGCAAAACTCCACAGCCAACATTGTAGAGATATCAACAGTGCTTGATTTCGATGTCGCTCCACAATTTGTAAATCTAAATCAATTAATGTCTGGGTTAACATCATCCTTAAAACCATTATATTTAAACTGGCAGGAGAAAAACAAGACTAGCAAGGAGCATTTTAGACACTCTGAATTCCCTTTAGCTTCATGAAATAAATTAAGCGACAGGATTCATCCCATGTATTCAGAAGACAAATTCAATGAAGTGAATTAAAATTCTAGAACTGAGAATCGTATTTGAGACGAGTTTTAAAAAGTCGATGCCTTGTTGGCATTTCAATATGACTGTCGACCCTTTTCCTTGCAATTTTTACATTTTCATTTGTTGTCTGAAGGCCTGGCTTGTCTCCTTCCAGGAAACAGACATGATACAATACAGTTTGATTCCTGGGTGTCTGCGAAAATGCAACTGATTTACAACACTTCCAAATGACATATTTACATCCACTGCACCTGTTGCATGTACAAAACTCAATATACTGTATTTGGCGCTGATAAACAGAGCTACGTGCCTCCTTGTTTTGGCAAGCATAAACCGATAAATGTCTCTGCTAATTTATTACACATTAACTTAGGCCAGTTGTTTGCCGCTCGAAGTGTACAAGTGCGACTTTCTACACGCCATTAAATATTTGCACAAGTCTACGTTGTAAAAGCGGCCATACCAAAAAACTACCCACCGTCAGCGTCGTACTTGTTCCACACTTCAGCGAAGTCTTCTGCCTTCATGTTCTCGAACTGTTTCCGCATATTCGACATGCACGACTCTTTATCCATGATTGTAGGAATGAAGCTTGTCAACAAGGGCGACTTGCGAAAGAGCAATTCCAGCGATCAGCTAGTTTGCGCGGTTGAGTGTTGTCGGCGTGATGCGATAGGCGCGGTACGAATGGCACTGCGCGTGCTGTCGTGGTACGATAGCTCAGAAGCTGTACACACCAACCGTCCAGGTCCGTGTAAATGTATTCACATCGCATAATATGCAGTTAGCGAGAGGGATTTTGATACGCAGCGGTCTATAAAAGGGCTGGGCAAGTAGCAGGTGGTGCTGTCCTGCCAAGCGCATGCGTCGACACCTCTCTTTTCTTTTGAAGGCCGCTCTCCGCAGATACACGTTTTGATGAGAACAGAAAGCTAAAGGTGTGGGTAGGCGGTCATTGCACAGGACTGGGTAGCCGACTTTCGTGCACGACAAATTCAACCTGCACAGCTGACCCGCAGTTAAATAATCCCATAAAATCATGGAATTACTTATTTCCAAACATGCATAATTAATTATCGACTATTGTATAAGACATACATTCGATTCGATGTCAGCAAGTGAATGGGATGTCAGTGAGTATTGCTATCGAAAAAAAGCCATGACTTTGCTAAAGTAGAATGATTTACGTTAGAATCGCACGTTTACTTAAGTACAAGAAAAATCATCTTTCTTCTGTATGATCTCACATTATGTGAATAAAAATGATTGTTTTCAAAAAGGCCAAAAAGTTTTTAATTTCTACAAATTTAGTTGGAATATCTTGAAACAGGTGTGTTTGCTATGCAGCCCGAGTACAAAGTGGTTTCAAGCTGCTGCACATTATTATTCTAGCAGCATATCGTTACGGATTTTACGAAGAGAATTGGCCCCAAATCATTTTTTTCTCAAATTTCTGGGTTTTTTTTCAAAATCAACTAGGCTATGCAACGCCTACAACTTTGTGAATTCAGTTTTTTACCAAACGTTACTGAACTTATTCGGCCAAATCAAGATGATCTCCGTGAGGCAAAATTCAATTCTACCGCATTTTTCGTTTTCATAGAGACTCATTTGTCGTTCATAGATTGGCAAAAAGGGCAAGACTCGTCTTGCAGTTTTCACGAAGAGACCAATTTTTCTCTGGAAATGTATAGAAATGTAACAATTTTACACTGGGCCCGTGCAATGACAAAAGCGTGCACCGTGTATGCCGTTTTCACGAAGAGATACACATTGGCGCACGGCATTCAGTGCAGTCCATTTGTTATAATGTAGGCACGGTAATTAAAATAGAAAATATGTTTCTAATTCGTCGACACGTCCCATGCAATGGACCGTATTGATTACCGTACACTTCAGTAAACATAAGGAATGACATCACGTGTCGAACGGACGCCAGCTGTGCGGTGGATATAACCTTCAAATCTCACGTGAATCGATATACGTCACACATAGCAACTGCACAGCCAATCACCAAGAGCCCAAACCAACCTGTGCAAATGTATGGGTTATGGTCTGTAATAGCAAATGTACTCATAAACGGATACAACGAACTAATGAGTCATTCACTTGTTGCTGACGATTAGCAACTTTGAGGTTGATAACCCTAAGAGTAATTTCCCTTAAAAGAAATCCTTCCGAGATACGCTTCAAAACCGTAGTTAAACTAAAATGGTCATTTTAAAACCGTACAAAACCAAAATAATGAATAGCACGAGTTATATCAACTCGTTGAAAAGGTCGGGATAAAGTTTTATTGCTTGCATGTTGAAAACATTAAAAAACAAAGGCGACTACGATGAACTTTGCCCCGAACTGTAATGATATATGGAATGAATGTACGCTTTTCAATCAAAAGACACTCTTAACCTGAAGCTGCTGGTATATTGAGGGCGTAACCATATACATGTACATGTTGGATACACACTTGAAGTATGTGTATTTAAGCACACTTACTTCAAACATTGCACACACCTTATTTTGGTCCTAGTATTAATTACCAAACAGCTTCTTTCTGACTGATACGGTGTAGTCTTTCATGATTTCCTTCTGACTAACGCCAAATTGACTAACGCCGATATGTGTATCAAAATACAACACGATGCGGCAACAGTTTTATGAGGGCCATTTCATAACAAGAGGAAATTCGAAGAGGAAAGCAATGTTTCGGATAGGCAGGTTAGCGTACAAAGATCCTCAGTTGTGTGAACTAGATTTTATCTCATAATAAACAAAATGGCCTGCGGATCTTGATCAGAAGGCAATTCGTGACGCGAGCGTCGCGAGGGGAAACGCGTTCTTCTTGGGCGTGAGTGAGGGCGCTGTTTAGAGCTCGAGAGGCATATGCGAACTCGAGTTTCACTTTTATTAGATACAAGTTTATGAATCTACGTTATCTTAGTTTGATTTCTTGCTCTTATGGAAATGTACTTCAAATTAAAAAGGGTTAAAATAAATTTGAATCTATGTTATTTTGAAGGATGTGTTCGTTTATAAATGTTTATCATCACAGGCTCCATTTAATATGTATCTTTTTTTCGAAGTCTCTCTTGTTACAGTATAATCATCGATTAATTATTCAAAATGTTGGTAAAAATTTTGTTTAAACATTCAGAACATATGGTGACAGTGAATTCTGTAACTAACCAATGAGCAAATCGGCAGAAATGCAAGGACAATTTGTTGTATGCTTTACCAAAAGAAATATCTTTTCTGATCACGTGACATGGCAACAAATTGCACCCACATAATAAGCTTTATAAAGAATGGCCGGCATATCAGCAGCCTGCAAGTTACTTTTCACCGATGTTGGTATCAAACGGATGAAGCAAGATCGGCAAAAGACAGTAGCGACTGGCCCTACTAACGACTAGGACTGCTGTTCACGAGCTGAAACGGTAGATGGCGCTGTGTAGCTTGTTCACGGAGGTCAACCCTCAGCAGTTTCCGCTGCCGAGTTTTTAGCTGTCTCACACACTAACTTGAAGATGATGAGAATGTCGCTTGTAACAGAAACAAAATGTCTTGGAACTCGAAGGAAACAGAATCAAAACAGAGTACCACTTCAAAGCGGCCATTTCCTCCCAGTCTTGCATTCATTTTTTTTTGCATTTTCTGTTGTAATTAAAAAGATCAACCCTTTGTGGAGTTTCTTGCAATCAAAATTCCTGTCCTACAATTCAGCGAGCAGACTTTAATTAAGTGGCAAATTTTACTGGGCTATATTTTCCCACAACATTTTCCAGTGCATTTGCAAAAGCTAAATGTGCAAAAGCAAAATAATCTAGCTTTCAAGTAAAGGTTATTGAAGGTCAGAGTGCGGCCACCGAAGAATTAAATCGGGGCCGATCCACCAGATGCATCTCCCTTGTTCCTCAACCAGCAGAACAAAATTAGCACAATGAGGACAACTGCAAGCAAGCAACCGATGACGATACCGACTATAGCTCCGGTGCTCAGACCGCCCTGCTCCGGAGCTCCCGTCGTGACTGTAGCCCCGGTCGGCTTCACGCCCTCTGTGAAGATAATCCGGGAAAGGCGATTGAGAAATATTGTGATACCAAATGCAAACCTGGCTAAAAGTAATGACGCCATCTATTGCCAGCACCAGTGCCAGGATGAGTTGGAACCAGTCAAATAGAGCCTGAAAGTAAAAGGTCACGCGGCGAGATCCGGGAACCCTCGCGCGGTCCGCCTATGAGGATTTTTTATGGGCTGTCCAATAATTATAAAGTTCTATAATTTTGGGAAGAATTATTCCAAACTGAACCACAAGAAACAGTTGTTACTCTCCAGGTGACCGGTACAAGTCACCGTGAGGGTGCACATTAAAATTATGACTCCAAACTGTAAGAGAAGGAAACAGGTAGGCACTTGTAGGGCATGTGTTGGGGTCGATGTTACTTCAACAAAGCATGGAGTCAGAGTGACTCAGAACAAAGACTCCACACATGGCCCACAGGTGACCACACTGCCTTCCAGGAAGCATTACATAACACCGTGCTACTTTCTCTCTATAGCCGTTTCCTGTCCATCACCACTCCTACACTGAACAGTTGTAGGATTCCACGCTACTAGCAGCAAGCACAACCATAAAAAGGGGAGGGGCATGCTCTTGAGATAAACAATGTGTACCTATTTCAGGCCCCTACACTGTGATGTCGAAATTTTGTGCTCCTCTAGCAATATTTTGGAATCGTAGCCTGCAGATGGGTAAAAAATGAATTTCCTGAACGACTTTTCGCTTTTAGCAATATAGTTCCAAGGTTTCCTTGCTGTTCGTCCACTTTTGTTTTCACTTCATGTGTTTATGTGAAAACGAAAATGTACAACATTGAAAAGATTTACCTACCCGTAAAGTCGATGGGTACTAGAATTGGTCGAGTTGAGGCCTGGCACCTTCTTGTCAGTAACAGTTAGATATATAACTTCAGAATCTTCCGTAAGACTACCATAAAATACAATTTCGTGTCTGTTTATCTGCGTACGAAACCGCCGAACTGCACTGTTCCTCATGTGTGTTTTAGAGTTTCGGAAGAAAGAGGTCAAATTTTGGCAGGATATCTCTCTTTCAGGTTGGGGAAATTTGTCAGTTTCTATAAATCTATATGCTAGCAAATATTTTACAAAGGCCTTTTCCCGATGTGATTTTTCAGTAAGCAACCAAACGAGAAAACAAATTGTAAATACTAAAATTTGTGCACGTTGTTTTTACTATCTGAGGGTTCCGAAAGCGCGCCACCAGGGGTCAACTTTCAACCTCTACTGGAGCTATGGTCAAAATTCGGAGGGAGAAACTCTAGTCTGACCAAAAGTTTAAAAAGGAGAAAGCACCTGTTACAGTTGATGCATTTTGCAGTGACGACTTGAAGTGAGACGTGACTGGAGACCGAGTTGCAATAACATTGGCTGGTTTGCGACTGTTAAACTCGTGATCGGCCCTTGGTGAGATCAGATACTTTGATCACAACTCTGGCCGTGTCCGAAATGGGCTTCCAGAGCTAGGGCTAGGTCTATTGTCTGCGTGTCTCCACGTACTTTCAATGGAGTGAAGACCTAGACCTAGCTCTAGACAACAGATTCGGATGCAGCCTAAGTCTGAACCCTTTGACGGCGTCAAGGGGGTAATCATCTGGCTCAGACTGTTCCATTGGGACTATACCGACAACCTGCGCTTTGGATATGTTAGTCTTTCAACAATTATTGTACTGTAAGATGTGTTGCCTTGCCTTCAATATTCCCATACAACCAACACACCCATGATGTAAAAACATTATACGTACCTTTTGATTGGCACACGAGTTCAACCTCCTTCCCCTCAGGGCACTGGGAAGTGTTGAAAGCCGTTGCGACACAGGCCTTGAGTGAAATCTCCGACCCAGTGCATGAGTACGAGGTTGCCAGCATCGGTCCCGTGCTGGCCTCGGCTTCTGAGAACGACAGGGCACCAGGGAAGCCTGCCTCGCGGCACGCCACATCGGCCACCCGTAAATCGAAACTGTCGAAGCAGAGGGTTCCCTCGGACTCCTGGCTACCTATGAGCCTGACCTTCAGAAGCCCTCGTCCTGCTTGCCCGTCGCCGATGGTAACTATCACTCCTAAAAGCCGACATTTAGGGAACGAATACAGACTCTTCATTTTGTTTTATCATCTTCCCATCTGACACAGAAACATCAACAGTTCCTTCACTGATTTGCGAAGGTTCTCGGGTTTGTATTTATGAGCTGCACACCACGGTTTCCGAATCCAATTTGTTCATCCGGTAGTCTAAACTGGGAAAGATCCTATTTAACACAATTTAACACAATATTCAGCCTCTCTTTGAATATTATTTTTATTAAAATAATAAAGATGACAGATTTTTTCTATAATCCTAAAATACAAGAGCATTAACAATCAGCCATATCTGCCTAATCTTTGTTGGCACAAATATGGAGTTTCTCGAACTATTATACATGGATGTCAATTCAAGCCGACTCGTAAAGAAGGCCATGATTTTACTGGAACACCTCGTCATCTACCTACCGCAGTCACAGTTAGTCCCTGCCTCCCTTTCGTGCGTGCATGTCGTGTTCATTCCCCGCTCGAGTACAACATACCGACATTTGATCATGTCGTCCTCGGTTCCGTCACACTGGACCTCGCTCAGTTTGATATCGAGGACCCCAGGACCGTATCTGGATCCCGAGGAGGCCTTGACGGCTGCGTCGCAACCGAGCTGTTTGCACAGCACGTCTGCATCCTCAACATCCCATTGCTCGTCGCAGATAGAACCCCAAGAGCCGTTGAAAAACACCTCCACGCGACCCGCTGTGGACACCGGGCCCCCGCTCAGGCGAAAAATACCGTGGTTTTTGGCATAAGCTGGGGAGAAAACCGGCGAACATTTAAGGCTTTGTTAACCAGGTGGGAACCAGACAAGGCTTAGTACAGATTCCTATGGTCGGCAAACAAGTATGGCCATTTCTTTCTACTATTTTCAATAAAACACTATGATCTTCGGAAAATGACAAATTTGATAATGTGGACAAAAAAAGTATTATAATCTTCGGGAGCATTCTCACATGGGAAGTCATCGGGGTTCCAACAGATCACCCCGGCGCTGTTTTCAACGGTACATTTCCCTGAGTCGCCCAGCTTGCCGTGGACGCAGCCCATCAGTGCCGACTCGTCTCCCCGGCACTCCACCTGGTCCAGGAACACCTGGAGCCCGCTGCCTGACGTCGGCGGGAAGCGAGCCGTGGCTTTGGAGGTGCTTCCGAGAGTCTGCTTACAGACCACGTCGGCGGCGTAGACGTCGAAGCCGTCGTTGCACACGGCGCCCTGCTGGCCGCCGAACTCGATGTAGACCATGCCGCTGTCGGCGTCGCTGCCACCCACTAGTGTCAGATCGCCATCTGTCGATACAAAATTTTTAAAAAGGCTCCTTTGAGCAACTTAACAACTATAAAATGTGACTTCAGTTGCTAGTTTTCATATACTCATTTTCAATAAGAGGTAATTGTGGCACGAAAAGTCTACCACATTTTTAAAGCCTCGGAAGCCTGAGATCTTTCCGGGTATTTTAAGACATAACCCAGTCCACGCACAAGTCATGGAAAATTACAATACTACTCATGGACAAAAGTTGAAGGGTTTAAATTAATCATACTTAATTCAATATAATATTTATACTTACCAGCAATTGATGAAATAATTACACGTAGACTGATACTCAGAAAAGGAGAAATTATAATGAGACCTTTCTCCCTGAGACAGAGCAAAACGTTTAGTTTTAATTTAAAGCTAAAGGTAATTTTTCCCACTGTGGTCGATATTAACTTTACAAAATACTAAGACAGGGTGTATTTTACTTTTCTTTAGCGCTCGTTAAAGAGGTTTTTTATTGTGAATACATAATTACTTTTATATCGCTGATCTTACATAAGGTACAGACACACGTAATCGACTACGGTCAAGTCACAGCCTTGGGCATTGAGGGCGCTTTGGAGATTTTGCACAGATCACCAGACTTGATAGGCTCAGACCTTGCATTCTGCACTGTAAACTTTACCCTACATAACGTATGCTTTAATGGTCTCTGGACGACAACCCCGCATTTAAACTAGAAAGTAAACTAGAAAGACTTCTGACTGAAAGTCAGCATCACCTCCAACTAGTCCAAGACAAGCCGCACACCGATAATTGCGGCACACGTGTTGTGTATCACGATGCCATTGGGGTTCTAACAACGTGATTCGAACAACATTTAACTAAGAGCGGAAGCAGAGACACATTTTTGAGGGGGAGACTAATTATGGGTACCAAAATTGTGGAAATGTTTTTCATTTAACCGTTTATAGCCTTTCTGAAGGGTAAGGCTGTTTTGAAGGCTTTTTAAACGCCTTTGGGAGGAAGGGAAATTGAAAAGACCCACCAAATCGCCTTTTATTTTCTTCTTGTCTTGCCATGAGAAAAAAATGGGGGCTTCTTTACAGGATGACCTTTGGCCTCTCGGATCAGCATTTGTATTAAACCAGCAAATCTGCCCTAGTCTCTACAGACACTTTGAAGACAAACTAAACAACTAAACGACGAAGTCCAAGGAGCGTGCAAACACGCACAACATGCCCAATGTTGTAAATTTCGAGACGGATATTTACATAAGGTGACCAAAAGTCAATTGAACAGACAACGATTATTTGCTGCTCAAAGAAAAAAATCGTGTTGTATTTCCGAAGGGGTCAATTTCAGAGAGTCAGTTTCAAAGGCGGGAAAGCCCATGCCTTCCCAGTTTCGGTTTTGGGGATTTGTGCTGGATTTTCTGAAGAAAATCATAATTTCAAAGCGGTACACAAATCACACTCATCTGATTAAAAGACAATCAAGAGATGTTACCCGTGTCTGATCGTAAATCTTACATAAAGTACATCAAAGATTCCAATATTTATGAAATAGCGTGTCAACAGCGAGTTTCTTTAAAGTACGTCACTCGTAACAAATAGACCCGTTTCTTCTTTATTTGTTAATTTAGGCCACAAACTTATTGTACGCATGTACTTACAAATCATGACCCATTAGGCGTAGTTGACCATTTCTCCGTCTTGATTGTAATGTCTGCATGTTGAGTTCTAAATTATTTACAGTCAACTTACGAAGAGCTACACAATGGCAAGGCGCAGGCTATAATCTAAACGCGTGGATTTCGCTATACATAGCACAATCCAATAATAACCCATTGACTACCGATCGGCATCAATTAGAACACTCACCTGCGGCCCACGCCGTCCCAAGCAGAGAAAATACAATCAGAATTCGATGAATCATCTTGATTAACTTTCGATTACGGGGATTAATCACCAAGGATTGGAGACGTCTGTTAAGAATAAGTCTTTCGACTGTGCCCAACTTTGCCGCCCAAACGAGATTGTTGGCCTGTTTCGCAAAGTTCGTTTTCTTGTTATCAAAGTCCACGCCTCTCCACAAAGGACGTTGCATACGCGCACGAACAGACCGGTAAATAACAATGCAAGGCCACGTGTGAGCCGCGTTATAAATAGGCAAGCAAACAGGCAAAATCGTTCACCTACAATTTTACGAAATACTACGTTGATTTGAAAAAAATGAGACATGAACCAGAATGTCCCATGGAATGATCGGGACTTCAGAGCAGTAGAACTATCCGCCTTGAGCAGAAGCGCTCCCTCATCGGTTGAAAAGAGCCATATTGGATGGGAATTTTTTTAATTTGGCTGGCAACGATGCGACCGTAACGCGTGCATTTCATTGTCTTTAGCGAACCAGCAAAGTTAAGTTCCGACCAAAGGAGCCTCTGTTGCTATGAAAATATTGCACCCTCTTTTAGTCTAGCTCGAGGCTCAAACTGCATGCAGTGGGTCTGCGCTCAGGGACATGTGGTAAACACATGCCTTTTCAACCAATAGGGTGCTGCGACTTGCCTGAATGCGCGCATGCGTCACGTTTTAGCACGTGTACGTGAGTATGCATGAAACCAGCGCAGCAGTGTCGTCTTGTTAGTCTGGTTCCCTAACCAAAGATTCCCTGACGTCTCCTGATAAAATCTTAGGTTAGGTATCACCCACGGATGTAAATAGATCATGACGCAACATGTCAAGGGCCACAAGGAAAGCCTTCGGTCTACATACAGACTGTTTTAACGTTGACAGTCGCTTCAAAAACATACAACAACTCAAAAAAGCGTAGGAAGGGAGCAACATCGTGTTGCATGTGGGCAATAAGCAATAGAAAATCTCATGATGCATACAGACACGGCCGGAAATACCCGAACACCAACGATGCTTGCCGAATGTGGACGGAACGAGTTCGGGATATTTCGGCTATTTTCGGAAACTGGAGGAATTCCTCCAGTTCTGGTCAAGTTGACAATGGATGATACTGGACCCTTGATTCGACAAGCATAGTCGGAGTCATCGGGTCTGGTACCCAGACTATCGTCTCGGTGCCCCCTGTCCTTGCAATACGACATAACGCCCGTCGCAGTGACTGAAAATGATATATATCATACATATTTGGTTGATTTCTTGGTCCATTTTCCGTTAGTCTATTCTTGAGAATAAAATCCATGAAGTGAGCAGGTAAATTCCAAATTATTTGGGGGGGGGGGAACGTGTTCTGGACGTTATCTTGCTTTGCATCTGTTTAGAATAACGCAGGTCGCAAACGCCATACGGAGTTTGCATGTTTGTGTTAATCACTTTTAAGATAATGGGACTTGACCTGCGTTTATGTTTTAATGTTAATACTTCGTGAAACAATTGCAGTACCATTTCACGATTGGGTTAAAACTAGGGGCTGTAAACCAAAGCTCTGGCCACTGGTTAACCCATAGAGCTCCTCTATGGTTAACCTAACTTAACCTGAACGAGAGTCTGTGTGTTGCAAGGGCAATCTTGCTTTCGCTTCAGTATTACGGCTATTTTTCACAGAGAGCTGATTGCCGGCTGACATGTCTACGTTGGCCTGCAGTGCGTGCTGTCAACAGCAACTGTAAACTCATCAAAACAGTCGTACAACCGTTTGCATCATACAGCTAAGCCGTGTCCAAAAGTTGTGGCTGAAATCATTAATTACACGGATTTCCTCATAGATCAAAAGCGGTTTTCTCCCTATTTTTTTCCGAGATTATGCAAGTCACTAAGACAAGTTTTTTTAATACCGGACCCACACTGATAAGATGATTATGATAAGTTATCACATCATTTACTTTGTGGATTACAATATGCATGCAATGTCGGGTCCGGCGGGCACAAGATTACATAAAAGTATCGTTTAAGCCCTCGAAATATTTTTTGTGGACTAAAGTACGGTGGTTTGTCATCAGTTTGAGAGGTCATTTCGCGAGTTATATTGAATGGACACATGCAGTCTTCGTTCTTATTAAAGGTATTCTAAATAACGAAAAATATGACCGAGCTATTGGAGTTTCACCATGGTCATAAAGACGCACTGGGAACCATACTGATCGTCCTTATTCCTATGATATATTCATTTATACCAGAGTCGCAGGCAACGTCAGGTAGGTGGTTTTATGTGTGATCAATGTAAGATTGCAAAGGCTTGGATTCATACCGAGTGTCCGCCATTTTGAAAACGTGTACAGGAATGGTGAGGGGCCTACTGTATCAGATTCATAGGCGGTACATTTTCTGACGATGCCATTCAACTCTTTGGAAAATTACTGGTCCATCATTAAATCATTATATTTACTATGTACTATTATACAAACAGGTTAAGATATTCACTAATTTGGGCAGAAATGATGCTTACAATAATGAAAGAAAGGTTTATGGTTTTATTCGACCATTGCACGAGATTTAAACTTTTGGCACACGCTACTGCATGTGCATGTACATTACGTACACGTCGACGCGTCGTGGCGTAACAGTAAACAGTTGCCGGATAAAAAGACTCCGTCCTATGACGTCACGATTCTTGGGAATTTCTTCAGACAACTTTCGGTACCCGACGGCTGTTGTTTAGCTTTTGCTCCCAGAAGGGAGTGAAATAGGGTCGTGCAAAGTATAATTTTTAACATACTTCCACGCATTGTGAAATTATGCAGATGTGTTTTCTTGTTATATATATGTTTGTTTTATATTTTCATGCATGTTATACAAGAAATCTTCACAGCACGGCCCATCCCCTTTAAGAGAACATAGAAAGCAGTTTGAAATGGGCTACACACTTTGACCAAGGAACACCGTATGACGCTACATTCTTTGAAATGATAAATGAGAGGTTTTCATTGCGTTTTTAACGATTTTCATTGCAATTAAATTTTTGCGAATTTATAAAACAGATGGCGATTTGCGTTTTGGGGGTAGCTCCGTTCCGTACCAGGGGCGCCTGGAAATATACCATGACGGCGATTGGGGAA